GAATGTCTCCTGCAACCTGTGCCTTTATCCTCGCCTTTTTTGGGATGTAGTGTCTTGTCACAGCCGTTTTACGCGCAACTGCAATGCAACCACATATTTAAAACACGAAACCAGCAAACACACTTATATGTTTCTATTGCGGGGAAGCTGTGCCCCAGGCCCGGACAAATTGTTAGGGGGTTAGGGGGCCTTAATGCCTGTCAGAAGGGCCTAATATAAGGCCCATTTAAGGAAGTATAGTNNAACCCCCCCCCCCCCCCCAGGGTCCCTATGAATTCTGAAATTCATTCGAATAATTTTGAAACCATGGAAGTGATATTCCGAGAAGGGTGCAGCACTTGATTTAAAATCAAAACGAGTCGGACATCCATCAGGCAGGGAATGCCCACAAGAAGAATTTGCGTTTCCTCTTTGTGCCCTGCACCCACTGTAGTTTGGCTGTGGGCAGCAGTGATTGGCAAGTCCCTGTTTCTCATGCGATCTTACTTTGGTGACGAACAGAGGTTATCGCAAGAAGGACAACTTTCGAATCCTGACGAAAAGAGAGCTGCACTGGCAGCTCGAACGCCCAACGCATACTGGCCAGGAACGAGATGTCGACTCTCTTCGTTTGTTCATGTGGGTAAGGTCCCTGTATACGTCCCCATTATAGTACGGCATTCTTATAAAAAGCCCGCAAAAAAGGACCCTAATTTAGAGAACTACCCATTTAGATCCAGAAACCCTATAAAAACTCCTAAAGCTCCTTTTTAAGAATTTAGAGAGCAACCCCATGTGCAAAGAGAGAGATCGCAAGGTCTGACCGTGTACAGCGACTCGAAGACCAAGCAGAATCTGCCAAGGCTTCCTGGGAACCCTCGACCTTCGGCCGGTTTCGGGTTTAGGGGTTAGGGTTTAGGGTTTCTGGTTTAGGGGTTAGGGTTTAGGGTTTAGGGTTCAGGGTTTTAGGAAGAGCAACCTGGACCCCAAAAGTATGTGGGTAGTTCTCTAAATTAAGGCCTCTATTCGGGTCCTTTTTTATAAGGGTGTCGCACTATGTTGGGGACCTAAGAAGGGACCCTAGTTTAGAGAACTACCCATGTAGAACAGTAGCCTTTTCTAGGTCTGGGGCCCTTATTTTTACCTACTTTTCGGCGGGTCCAGGTCGACCTTAGGAGCCACATCTTCAGGCTTTTGGACTTCGAGTGCTGATGGCTTGCGGACGCACGCTTTGCGTGTATCCACGTATGTTGCATGTGAGCCAGTGATGTCAGAGACCGGGAAAGCACAAGAAGGGAGAGAAGCATGGACAGCAAGTACGGAAAGGAAAGCACCACGTCAGAGCCACTTGCGAGACTTTGATCCAGGCACGGCTGCGGGCCATGGAGAATCAGAATGAAGCCTTGGCGAGAAAGCTTCAGCCTGAAGCTTAGTTCATCCCCTGTCAACTCTCGGCAGAAGGCCCCGGACTTCGAAGAGGAGGGGTCCCTTTGTTTAGGGCTCATAGGGCCTATAGGGTTTAGGGTTGGCCGTCTTACATGCGGAGTTTGCTTTCGGGCTTTCCATCCGGGAGCCAAAAGCACAGATAACTAATTTTGATTCTCCTGTTTGACCGGGGAATACTGGGGAGTGGGTGAGGTGACGACTTTGACATTTGAGATTGATTTCTCGACCAGGGTACTTGGTCTCTTCCCAGATTCTTCGAAAATCGTAGCCTGGGCCCACACTCTCTGGCTGCATACTCTGCGCCATCCGCCTCCTCCGTCACCAGGTGATAGGCAAGCTTGGCCTTCAGAGCCTGACCTAACTCTGTGGCGTTGAAAAAGAAACACACATCTACAGATACTTGCATGGCCTGGAATGGTTTCTCTCTCCGCGCGGCTTATTCTGGTTTAAAGTGGGCGAGGTCTCCTCGGTCGCTGCAGAGCTCGGCACCGAAGGCCGGATGAGGTGGTTTACAGCATACCTGAGCTGAGCTTCGGGTTCATGATGGGGCAAGCATATTGTGCCCTGGTGTCATGGTGGTGTACTGGTGGTCCGCTGGGATTCTTGGTAGGACCTGCTCGGATGGTCTCGGAGTGTCCCGGTCGTGGTCCAGTGGTTCATGGTCGTCACAGTTAGGGACCTACGTAGTCACTGGCGTGCTTCGAATTACGCCCCACTGCCGGGTTCAGAGACACGCCCATCATGCTTCCCCCGGTGTACTGGCGGAATTCAGGACTACTGCAGTAATGCAGGCTTACGGGGATTCAGTAGCGCGGCCATCAAATTCTATTGAATTTACAATGGATCTGGCTTCCGGGATGGGGCCTGCACATCGCACCACAGCGAGGAACCTCCCGGCAGGCGCGCCTCTAGCCCGTTCTGTGAGTTTTCAAGCATAAGAACCCGATAGTATATACCACGTCATATACTCTATATATATATATATAATATACTATACTGTAATTTTTCTGTATGCTGTACTATTCTATACCGTACTATGACATGTTTGGAGAACCCAAAAAGTCAGGCATGTCCGCCGCAACGACGCTTCGTACAGCCCGATATCCGGCCTTCAAATCAGGCCGCCGCTTGCAGAGACATGCCAGCGTTTAGGGGACCCTTTGAAATTTAGGGTTTCCTAAAGGGATCTGTCAGTTTCCTTAGGGGTGCTATAAAGGTTCTATGTGGGTAGATTTGTTTGCACATTAGTGTTCTGTTGGGGGTTAGGGGTTTTCGGGTAAGAGGGCTTGCGGCTTTCTGTGGCTAGCCTTCCGGGCTTGTTTGTAGGGCTTGGGGTTGAGAGTGTGCATGTAGTGACTGGCGCGAGCTTGAGGCTTGCCACACTCGCAGTAGTAATAGTAGTAGTAGTCGTCGTCGTCGTTGTTGTCGTCGTCGTAGTGGTAGTGGTAGCGGCATAGCGGTAGAAAAAAGTAGCGGCGCGGTAGCAGTCGCAGTCGCAGTGGCAGTAGGAGTAGCAGTAGTTTTTGTTGTTGCGGTTGTTGCTGGTGCCGTTGCTGCTGCTGTTGTTGTTGTGGTCGTCGTTGTCGTTGGCGTTGTCGTGATGGTGGTGGTGCTGGTCGTGGTCGTGGTGGTGGTGGGGTGTGGAGGTAGTGGTGGTGGTGGTGGCACAATGGCGGTGATGGTGGCGGTGGCGGTGGCGGTCCGCTGCTGCAGGCTGGTTAGGAACTTGCGGCAGGAGCCAAGTCCTGGGCGTCACAGCTTTCCTCGAGTAGCCGCTGTCGCTGCCGCACAGGCGCAAGCCACACATCCAGAGTCAAAGATGGTTTCTGGTGATTCCGTGCAGGCCGCATTGCAGGAGCCGCGTGGCGACATGAGTGCCAGGCCGCCTTCGTGTTGAGTTCTGCTTCTGTGTGCTCGGTTCAGTCATGTGGCGTGTTGCACCTGGTCCGTTGCAGCAGTTGAAGAAGACTGCAGCGCTGCATGTATTGATGTCCTTTGGTCCTGCAACCCCACTGAGCAAGTTAGGAAACCCCAGCTAGCAGCTACTTCCCCCGTACCAAAGCGCAGCAAGCACATGTGGCCAGTGAGTTGTAATTCTTCCTTATAGCTGGGCAAAGCCATGCTCCATGTCCCATGCTGTTGAGACCCCCAGTGCTTCTTGGAGTGTCCTCGCCTGGTCTCATTTCGGACGTTGCCTGCAGAGACCCTGCCCGTGCGTGCGGCAAGCCTCGCTCCACATCCAGGTCTTCTACTCTGGTCGGTTGTGTTGCTGCATTTGGAGTCGCTGCTGAGAAAGGGAGGAGACGACTGGTTGTGAGGCGAGCGATGGGAAGGCCCGCGATGGAGTCTGCCCGACTTGAGCTCTACAAAATGGGCTCGCGATTGGAACGCGATCTCCTGCCATTCTTGCAGAAGGATGTTCGCCAGGTCCTGGGTGGAGTTCGGGTGAACATACCAAACAAAACCAAGGGACAGAGCAAGGATCTCCTATCCTCAGCTCGAGCGATCTTAGGCAAAATCTCCAAGGCTGATGTCTGTCTTCACTACAGCCTCAAGAACATGCCGGCAGGTGTCCGACCCTTTCGCGAATTTCTGCTTGAAGCTGCAGATGTGGGTGTTCAAGCTGTACTGCTCGTATCGGGTACTGGGAAGAAGCCGAAGCGCGATGCTGTGAGCTGCTTGTGCGAGCTCGCTGCTGATCTACGCGAAAGCCAGGTGAAACTCCCACGCCTGGGCGTTGCATTCAGTCCCTTTGAAGATCCTGAGATCGAGCAAGCACGCTTGAAGGACCCGGGGTCTGGGTTTGTGTGACCGCTCCTGTGAGAAAATTTGGGTTGTTTGGACATGTCTTAAGTTTTTCCGGCCAAAGACAACACTCATGGGAGGACAAGTTGTCTTCCGGCCTGGTAGATTCAATCTGGCTGCAGATTGGCTCTGACTTGGAGGCTCTGCGTGCTGGGCTGGAGTTCCTTCGAGATGCAGCAGGTGACATCAGAATCTACGGCTCTGTCTTCGTGCCATCGCGGCAGCTTCTGAGCAGGACGGGCCCTGGCAGTTGTGACGTCAACTTAGGGTTTAGGGTTTAAGGGTTTAAGGGTTTAGGGTTTAGGTGGTTTCCCCCTGCCCCCCGGGTCTTGGCGCAAGCTTGGGAACTCATCCCGAAGTCTAGAGGGGCCTCCCTGCAAAGGTTCCGCGAGCGCCCATGGACTGGAGTCGATCTCACCCCCAACAACTATCTGGAGTCCCTCGAGAATGCTGAGAAGGTGACCCAGCAGATCTTAGAATTGTACTCCGAGTTCGGTGTGCTGCCACTGGTGGAGAGCCCTGTGGAAAATGCCCCTGCGCTGCGAAGCATGACGGCTTTGTTCCGAGATCCACAGGACAGCCTTCGAAGCAGCCCCGAGCCGCAGGGAGCCCCTGAAACGGCCCTGGCTCCGGGCGACGGGGACCGTCGGAGCGAAGGTTTGGCCTTGATGTGGTTTCGTGTGGATCTGAGAGTGCACGACAACCCTGCCTTGACCGCCGCAGCACGGCACCCAGAGCTTCTCCCTCTCTACATCGCAGCAGAGGAAGAAGTGGGGGGAGCGGCCCAGGTCTGGGTGAAGGAGTCCTTGAAAGCCTTATCAGCCACGTTGGAGAGCATGAGCTCAAGGCTTTGCTTGCGTCGTGGGGATGTCACTGAGGAGCTGAAATCCCTCTGCCGGCAGCTGAATGTCAGAGCCGTTTATTTCAATCGTCGATATGAGCCGTGGCTGAAGGAAGCAGACGACCGAATCTCCAGCGAGCTGCAGCAGATGGGCGTGGCCGTGCATAGCTTTGAGAGCTACTTGCTCTACGAACCAGAGACCATCTCGATGAACAGTGGCTTTCACCACGGCCATTGGGGAACCTTGCTGCCTTTCCTGGGAGCCTGCCGCAGGCTTGGGCAGCCCCGGAAGCCCCTTCCCAAGCCGGCGACACTTCCATCCAGCCCCAAGCTGGCCAAAGAAATCACACAGCCTTTGGAGGAACTCTACCTTGCTAAAATCCCACCTGGCATACAGGATTGGAGTGCCCCGATACGCGAGGCATGGGACTTTGGCGAAGATGCAGCACTCTCCCGGATGCATTCCTTTGTGCTGGGGCCACGCCTGGAGAACTATGAGAAGCAGCGGAGCCGGGCAGACCTGGAAGAGAATCCCAACTCACGCTTATCGCCCTACCTCCGATGGGGGCAGCTCTCCCCCCACGATCTCTACTGGGCTGTAAAGGGGACGGGACTTCAAGAAAAGGACGTGAAGACCTTTCAGCGCAGGCTCTTCTGGAGAGAGCTCGCATACTTTCACTATATGGTCTTCCCTCACATGCGCCATGAGCCGATCCGGTCGAACTACAAAGACATTCGGTGGAGCCAAGACATGCAATTGCTCAAGAAGTGGCAAAGAGGCTCAACCGGATATCCCCTGGTCGATGCAGCTATGAGGGAGCTTTGGCAAACTGGTTGGTGTCAACAAAACATGCGGATGGTGGTGGCCTCTTTCTTGGTTGAATACTGCAACATTGACTGGGTCAAGGGTGCTGAGTGGTACGAGGACACGCTGGTGGACGCGGACATTGCGATCAACAGCATGATGTGGCAAAATGCTGGACGTTCTGGCATTGATCAGTGGAATTTCGTTATCTCTCCTGAAGGTGTGAAACTCAGCTCTCTTGAAACTTCATGCTGGTACTCGTAGCAAGTGTTCCTTAGACAATGTCAACTGCCGGCATTCCGTAGAAGCTCTTGAGTGATGTTGAGAGCACCCCGTGCCTGCCACAGCCTGCAACTCACCCTGCACATCCTGGAACCCTGAACCTAAACTCTCCAGGTGGGTCCCAGGACCCTTCGGGTGCCTACGTCAGACGCTGGGTGCCTGAGCTGCAGAACCTGCCAAGACGATTTCTTCACAAGCCATGGGAGGCACCAGCGGACGTCTTAAAAGCAGCCGGTGTTGTCCTGGGCGAGACCTACCCTTTTCGTTGTGTCTCAGATTTGAAGGGGGCACGGCAGCTTTCTGCGGATGCCGTGCTGAATATGCGCCGTGGAATCATGAACAGCACTTGGAACGATGCCGAGGGTTACGACGTCATCAGCCTCCCTGGCGGAGAGCTCACCAAAGTCTTCACGAGGCGAGAGTTCCGCCTGCCAAACTCCGATGCGCCAAAGCAGCGGAGCCGGAAACGCTCGCCAAGGCCTGCTGCCAGCAGATCTCGGTCGAAAGTCGCGAGGCGTGCTTGCCAGCGGTCACTTGCGAACTGGGTCCTCCGTGACCCAGGACGTGCCGTCATCGATTTGGACAGCTAGATATCTGCTAGAGGTGTAGGTAAGGGGCATCAATTATACTGTTAACTACAATTAGGAACCCTAAGCCCTAAGCAAGGATACAAGGAGTGAAAAGTTAGTGCTCAATCCGAGGCTCGAGACCAGAGCTGCAAAAGTTCTGCTCTGGTCTTCTTCTCAAAACAATTCGCTGCCTTTGAATTTTCTCTTTGCTCTCGACGCTACGCCTTCGATGCGAAAGCGTCCCTGCCATCAAACGATGGACGTCGCTATCATTTTCAGGGGCCCTTCTGGCAAACAGCATGTTCTGTGGCCTCTGCACAGAGGGATTGGAGCTGAATGAAACCCATCCAGTATCGTACCCTTATAGTACCCCTTGCACGAGCTCTGCTAGCCTGCCAGGCTTCCCGGGCCAGCCCATCGAGACATCATCAGCCCGGATGCTTCAGGCGCAACGCTGGAAGCAGGCGGCCTGCTGCACACCACCTGTTGCTGCTACTTGTATCGTCACCGTCTCATACTCACAAACCTTTGCTGCCCTATCTACCTGTCCTTTATATACATAAACATACATAACATACATACACACACATATATTTGATATATGTTATATGTTCATTAGAGAGGCGTACCTATATGTAGACCCACAGAAGCCTACGTGCGCATTCGCTGTTCCTGTGCTGTCAGTGGTGCACGTCGCAGCCAGGATCTGAGAGCTCTCGGCGCCGAGGCCGAAGCGGTTGTCAGCTCACTCGAGAGTGGCCGAAGCATAGCATTCTTGTTATTAGCATAACGGTTTTCTGACTATTGCGATTGCCGTTTTCGTATTTTCACTGACATCATCATCAAAACAGTCTTCATTATTGATGTTACTATTACTTGCTGCTATAATTGCTATTCTTGTTCTGCTGGTTCTTCTTACTCTCATTCTTGCTGTTATGATTATTTCTATGACTATGGTTACTATCATCGACCTTTGTAGTAGTGTTATTGTTATTCTTCTTATTGTTATTCTCATTCTCATTAGTAGTAGCGGTATTGGTAGTGGTAGTGGTACTGTTAGTAGTAGTAGTAGTCGTCGTCGACGTCGTCGTCGTAGTCGTCGTAGTCG